CGCTGCGTAGTAAGGTTATCACTATGGGGTAAGGTTAACGCTATGGGGTAAGGTTAACGCTATGGGGTAAGGTTAACGCTATGTCAAAAACCATCCATCTATTGTATGGTTTTAATGTCGACGGAACTTCCCAACACCAAGTGGCTGCTCCTGCTGCTGCTGTTGGTGTTATAATACTGACATTACACAACAGTTTAGTCGTTTTTATTGACCACAACGACACAACCAAATGAGTAACTACTGTGTTGTCAGAAGTACCTAGACGTCTTGTGATTTTATGACGTCAGATGGGTTTTTATGACGTCAGATGGGTTTGTATGACGTCAGATGGGTTTTTATGACATCAGAAAGGTTTGTTTATAACGCCATAGATCAAAGTGTGAACTGTGGTGGATATACGCGACATAGCAAAGCAAAAAAAAAACAAAAACAAAAAAGTATTCGACGCTCCGATTAAATGACATAAACGAAGGAGGTATAGTAGTTTGTGTTGTATCATATGGGGAAAAAAATAAAGGTTGAGGTTATTAATCACATCCCTGAGGCGTATTACCTAGCGGGTGTGATCGACTTCCAGAAAATAAACAACCGTCTGGCACAGTTTATTACATCGACGCGAGATTGTGACATGTTTACCTAAAGTTCCCACATCAATAGTGTTTTAAAATACTATATACGAGTCAATATTTCGAGTCTTGTGAGGATATATATTAATTAATTAAGATGAGATAGAGAAATATAAAATAAATTGTTAATAGCAGTGAGAGTAAGAGAGTAATAGACGTATATGGAATATTTGGTGTGTCTGAGGTGGTCACTTACAGACGAAGTAATTATAGTACAGGAGAGAGAGGAGGCGGCTCGAGGCAGTGAACGTACTCCACCCTGCTGCCCGTGTTGACATTTACTCCAACCTACTCTCACTAGTTACACCCCCACCCCCGCGACGCCACCTCCCACACCCCCCCCTGCCGCCACCTCCCCACACCCCCCGCCGCCCCTTACCTCCTCCTCTTCCCCAAGCATTCCCCACATTCCCACCACATCCCCATGCTCCTTCCACCCCTTCCTCACCCTCCCCACATCCCTCACCCTCCCCCCCACACCCCCCAATTCCCTCCCCACACCCCCATCACCTCCCACCCTCCACACATTATCAACACCTCCCCACCACACCCACTCCACACAGACACACACTCCACACCCTCCACATATCCCCACGCCCTCCCCACACCCCTCACACCCCTACGCCTCTCCATACCCCCCCACACACACACACACCACCTTCCCCTCTCCAGTTAATCTCAACACACATACAGCCACACATCGCGTTAACTGTCTCCGCTCCCTGGATTAGTCTTACCTCCGTGTTAGTGCTTCGCTGCGCAACACGTTAATATTGAGGTTATGTCAGTGTAATTAACATTTTTTTGGAGTCATTTGTCTTTTAATATTACTTTCTAATCTTTTTTTTTGTCTCGTTGTGTTTCTTGAACTGTGTGTGTGTGTGTGTGTGTGTGTGTGTGTGTGTGTGATAATGATAGTCTACATTAGGCTCCTCCACTCTACTGTGACCCCTCCCTTCCTACCTCTTTCCCTCCACAGTGACTCCTCCTTCCCTCCCTACATTCCTTCACAGAAACGCTACCTACCTACCTCTCTCTCTCTCTCTCAGCTGGTTATCTCCTACAAGTGCCCCCCGCAGCCTCCTCACACACACTCGTTACCGACAACGTTACTGTGGCCCAGAGAGTGTTCGTGGCAACCAGTCAACATGATAACGGCAGGAGATAGAGTAACGATAAGAGAATCCGATCGTATTAAAAGGAATTAGATACTGATAACGGGAATTAGAATCATTGTAAAAGGAATGAGAATATTTCCAAGGGGTATTAGATCCTGATAAGGGGAATTCGATCCTGATAAGGGGAATTCGATCCTGATAAGAGAATATAAAGCCTTAGAAAGTCTATATTCTTATTCTCCACGTCTCCCACGATCATTATTTTTACTCATTATGTCTCCTAGTAGTAAAATATTCTAATAAATATGACAGGTCTCCAAGGGCTCTGATAATATCCAGGTGTTCTTATAAGTTGTTGTCCTCGCGAGTTCAAACAGAAGATACGATCGTTTAATAATATCTGGTGTTGATGGTAGTGGCTGTTGGGAAGGTAAAAGTGTGTATAAGTGTGTCAGGTTGTGTATGAGGGGAAGGGGGGTGGGTGTTAGTAGTAGTAGTAGGGGGGTAGGAGGGGGGAGAGGGGGTTGTGTTGTGGGGTGGGTGGGTGAGAGGAGGGGTTCTGTTGGCGGTAGGTGGGAGATAGAGGGGGTTGATATGGT